GCACGTCATTTCCCTATAAATACACGCACGTCATTTCCCTACGAATACACGCACGTCATTTCCCTACGAATACACGCACGTCATTTCTCTACGAATACACGCACGTCTTTTCTCTACGAATACACGAACGTCATTTCCCTACGAATAGACGCACGTCATTTCCCTACGAATACACGCACGTCATTTCTCTACGAATACACGCACGTCTTTTCTCTACGAATACACGAACGTCATTTCCCTACGAATACACGCCAGTCATTTCCCCTGTCTCTTATACACATCTTGGGTGGCACCCTCCACCAGCTGTACGAGACCCAGGTGGGTGCTGCCCTCCACCAGCTGTACGTCAGAATTCAATAAATAAATAATATATAAATAAAGCCGTCAGTGGCCCCGGACATTTACTTTTGATCGTGTTGTAATAACTATCGTCATTTATAAGGATGAATAAAACTGAATAAATGAACAAAAAGTAATAATCGAAACAACCTGTCAATTAATACAGAAACAATAAATAAACAAAACTAAAACCGTGCGCTTTCTTTGGACCGACTAACTATTTTCAATAAAGATCTATTCAGGTCCTTATTTCGGAGCCTTTCTGCACACACAAAACGAAAACACAAAATTAGAACTAATGAAATAAATAAACTAATAAACGCAGAAATATAGCACGTATGACATAAGATACATGAATAAATATAAACACAAATATGCCCTAAACGTCAATAAAAACTCAACTTAAACACAAAGGCACTCAACACTGAAAATAAACACGACTAATAGATATAGCGGATTCCTACGTGAGGTCACGTCAGTGGTGACTAAAAACCTAAAAGAGAAATTACGAATCTAATATTTACAATAACATACATAATCTCATATTTATACAATAACATACGTCCCCTTAACTACAACGTCACCACATGCAGGTAGCCGAGCACCGCGGCAGGAGTTATCGCTCTGAACTGCCGCTTGCTCATCCCTCCCATTCTGCTATACATCTTCACGCTTAACAGTGATTGTGTCGGAAATTTATTTCAAAATCATTGTTTTACCGTGATTTAATCCTTGGTTTCCTTCAGATTTATGGATTTTTGAATCACTACACATATTTAGAACGAAACCTTGTAGGTACAGGTTATATTATACCATGCGTATAATATACCATGCGTATTAAATGGTGAATAAGTTGGGTGTGTTGGCAGGTGCTGCACATGAGTGTGCCGCTGGATGATGACTCACTGGGGGACCAGCCCTCCCCCCACCACTCCTCCACCCACCCCTCCACCCACCACTACTACATGGACAACGTCTCTTACATCAGCAAGAACAACAACCGTGAGTGGGGCAAGGGGGGTCAAGGGGGGTTAAGGGGGTCTCTTATACACATCTAGATGTGTATAAGAGACAGCCCAACATGAGTCTGANAGTCAGGACAAGTGGGGGTCAGAGCAAGTGGAGGTCAGGACAAGTGGGGGTCAGAGCAAGTGGAGGTCAGAGCAAGTGGGGGTCAGGAGAAGTGGGGATCAGGACAAGTGGGGGTCAGAGCAAGTGGAGGTCAGGACAAGTGGGGGTCAGAGCAAGTGGAGGTCAGAGCAAGTGGGGGTCAGGAGAAGTGGGGATCAGGACAAGTGGGGGTCAGGGCAAGTGGAGGTCAGGGCAAGTGGGGGTCAGGACAAGTGGGGGTCAGGGCAAGGAGCCTAAAAGGTTTGAGCCGACAGGGGTTAATTTTAACCCCCAAGGGGCTCTCAATAACCCCGACAACCCCTCACCCCAGGGGACGACAGCCGCAGCGACGCAGGTCCCCCCTCCCCGTGGGTGTCCCGCCCCTCCACCTCCCGTGGGTTCTCCCCACCCACGGGGCTCCCCCACCTCCTCCCCCACAGCCACGGGTACCTCCCCCAGCACAACTCCGACGCCGGTATATATTATATCTATTGTTTATATATACCTATATTAATTATATACGAGTTCGATTGTAGGTTAAAAAATAGGTTTATAGATTTTTATAGTTATACATATTGGAAAAAAATTTGTTAATATAACCAATTTTTTGGCCTTTAATCGAACTTGTAAATGCTGTCATATTAAATTTTTATTTAAATGAATTATATCCAATGATCTATTTCCTATGATAGTGAATAAGAATAATAGTGAATATTCACAATAATGTAACGATGTATCGCGTGAATAACAATGATGTATGAGCACGGCTTTGGGTTAAAACAAAACATTCATTTAATACATACATTTTACTATTCTTATGTATACGCATATGCATTATTGATTGTATGAAAAGAAGCTCATGAGAGTGAATAATGTTAATGGTGAATAAAATGAACATAATAGATGAATGCCTTCATACATACATTATTATAGTAGATGAATACCTTCATACATACATTATTATAATAGATGAATGCCTTCATACATACATTATCACAATAGATGAATGTCTTCATACATACATTATTACAATAGATGAATGTCTTCATACATACATTATTACAATAGATGAATGTCTTCATACATACATTTCGCCCGTCCACACGACCACGTTGCTGTAACTTCGCCTGTAACGTCGCCTGTAACGTCGCCTGTAACGTCGTCTGTAACGTCGCCTGTAACGTCGTCTGTAACGTCGCCTGTAACGTCGTCTGTAACGTCGCCTGTAACGTCGCCTGTAACTTCGCCTGTAACGTTACCTGTAACGTCGCCTGTAACGTCGCCTGTAACGTCGCCTGTAACGTCCATTGTAACGTCGCCTGTAACGTCGCCTGTAATTAATCTTAATTAGCGTCAAGAATAATGGTTACATTAATGATGTAACTTAATTTTGCCTAATTAACTTGAATTAGCATCAATATAATGGTCCAATAATTGACACTAGTTAATTAAGCCTGATTAACATTTGTCACCCACAATAATAAGTCACATTACTGACGCTATTTTATTTAGTCTAATTAACAATTAACTTCAATTTGGTCTTAATTGATGACTGTAATGAAAACAGACTGAAATATTCGAACTTGTGACCCGTCCAATTATTAATTATGATATAATCATTAAATAATATTAAGATGATTAATTAATGAACCGATCAATTATCAAACGATAAATGATGAAGTTTAATTATTTAACACGTGATTTGATCATCCTCAATTATGAGTCATTACTTGATCATTAAATTAGTGCTATTTATATTTTATTAATAAGTTATATGATATTAATTAAATAATTTCTGAAAGATAATATTGAAATCTAGAATTTTTTCAATTATTTGTTAATACAATCATTAGGTTTTTTATTGTTACCCTTAATTGCTAATTAGTGACAATAGCGTGTGTATATACTGTACATGTTCATAGCGTACACTCACAGACATAAGTGAGACTTTGTCCCAAATAGTGACGCCATTTTGTGCTCATATGTGAGTCACCCTGACTCAGTTTAGTATAATATCTCCGTTGTAATGATATCATCCTGGTAAATATATATTTGTAATATAATTTATAACCATTATACAGAAATGTTGCTTTTGATTAACCCTGGCATTTAAAACAAACATATTAATTAGAACATGAAGATTATACAGCAAAAATATTCAATGAATTCAATGAATAAAAAATAGTTTTCATTAAATGAATAATGAATAATGAAAAAATAGTAAAAAAAATTCATCAATCTTTTTTAAATTTTAAAGTATGCATCTTCCTGAGAAAAAATAAGCGTGCGTACGTATTACATATATAACATATTTATTTCAATAATACGTAAAAATGAGAGAGCATATAATCTAGTTTGTGTTATAGAATATGAGGTATTATATTATTTGATTCATTATTATACCTGAACATGACAATAAAGTTAATATAGTCTATGGAAAGTCTTCAGAAAACCGAACATTCAACAACATGTTAAAATGTAGAATTGTGAAAAATGGTGAGAGGATAGTGAGGGATATGATGGAGGATAGTGAGGGACATGATGAAGGATACAGTGGGAGGATAGTGAGGGATATGATGAAGGATACAGTGAGAGGATAGTGNACCTTCAAGTCAAGGCGACTTCAAGTCAAGGCCTAAAAACCTTCAAGTCAAGGCGACTTCAAGTCAAGGCCTAAAAACCTTCAAGTCAAGGCGACTTCAAGTCAAGGCCTAAAAACCTTCAAGTCAAGGCGACTTCAAGTCAAGGCCTAAAAACCTTCAAGTCAAGGCGACTTCAAGTCAAGGCCTAAAAACCTTCAAGTCAAGGCGACTTCAAGTCAAGGCCTAAAAACCTTCAAGTCAAGGCGACTTCAAGTCAAGGCCTAAAAACCTTCAAGTCAAGGCGACTTCAAGTCAAGGCCTAAAAACCTTCAAGTCAAGGCGACTTCAAGTCAAGGCCTAAAAACCTTCAAGTCAAGGCGACTTCAAGTCAAGGCCTAAAAACCTTCAAGTCAAGGCGACTTCAAGTCAAGGCCTAAAAACCTTCAAGTCAAGGCGACTTCAAGTCAAGGCCTAAAAACCTTCAAGTCAAGGCGACTTCAAGTCAAGGCCTAAAAACCTTCAAGTCAAGGCGACTTCAAGTCAAGGCCTAAAAACCTTCAAGTCAAGGCGACTTCAAGTCAAGGCCTAAAAACCTTCAAGTCAAGGCGACTTCAAGTCAAGGCCTAAAAACCTTCAAGTCAAGGCGACTTCAAGTCAAGGCCTAAAAACCTTCAAGTCAAGGCGACTTCAAGTCAAGGCCTAAAAACCTTCAAGTCAAGGCGACTTCAAGTCAAGGCCTAAAAACCTTCAAGTCAAGGCGACTTCAAGTCAAGGCCTAAAAACCTTCAAGTCAAGGCGACTTCAAGTCAAGGCCTAAAAACCTTCAAGTCAAGGCGACTTCAAGTCAAGGCCTAAAAACCTTCAAGTCAAGGCGACTTCAAGTCAAGGCCTAAAAACCTTCAAGTCAAGGCGACTTCAAGTCAAGGCCTAAAAACCTTCAAGTCAAGGCGACTTCAAGTCAAGGCCTAAAAACCTTCAAGTCAAGGCGACTTCAAGTCAAGGCCTAAAAACCTTCAAGTCAAGGCGACTTCAAGTCAAGGCCTAAAAACCTTCAAGTCAAGGCGACTTCAAGTCAAGGCCTAAAAACCTTCAAGTCAAGGCGACTTCAAGTCAAGGCCTAAAAACCTTCAAGTCAAGGCGACTTCAAGTCAAGGCCTAAAAACCTTCAAGTCAAGGCGACTTCAAGTCAAGGCCTAAAAACCTTCAAGTCAAGGCGACTTCAAGTCAAGGCCTAAAAACCTTCAAGTCAAGACGACTTCAAGTCAAGGCCTAAAAACCTTCAAGTCAAGGCGACTTCAAGTCAAGGCCTAAAAACCCTCAAGTCAAGGCGACTAGTCAACGCACGAACGGACACGAATTATCTACGAATCACTTAACGAATAATCAATCATATATCAACTGAACACGATATATATGCTAACGATTATACAGTAAAGAAATTATATATTATAAGTTCTTTAATAAAGTTTGTGTGTTTGAAGCTTGACGCCATATTTTGCATGTTAAAATATTACTTATAAACAATAATTTGCATAGCGTCAAAATAACACATTTGTATAAAATCACTATTCAGCAGGAATATACATATATTAAAGTAATAGAACACATTCATAATACAGCAAATTTCACTAATGATAGAAAGTCAATACGAAAATAATTTCAAAAGAAAAGTAATATTAATTATATTTTTTCAATTTGTAAATGTTTTTTTTTTTTTGGTTGGTGGGAGGATGAATTTTAGTCAAAAATAGTAAGTTCAAGTTTACTTTAAATATTATCAAAACATTCGTTGAATGTAAAGAGTTCCGTGCTGAAGTTATTTAGTTAAATAATTAGTTTATAATAACATAGCTATTCGCGATGAAAAATAACAGTTTGGTTTTAAAATAAACTCTTTAAAATATTTAAAATATTTATTTATTTTTTGTTTTTTGAAATAAACTCTTTAAAATAAACTTGTTCTGCTCACCCCCCACCCATCTCATCCCACATCACCCATTTCATTAATCCCCTCTTTTCAACCCCCATTTCTACCATTTCCACTGCCCAGTCTGCCTCCATCCCCTCTTCCCTTTTCCCCCCCATCCACCTTTCCCCCTCACTGCAATCAATAATCAGGGCAAATAAATTGAACAGCTTTAAATATTCTATCAATATTTTGATTCAGTTATCTTATATTATGTTGATAAGAAACATTTTCATTATATATTATTATTTTGAGTCAGTTTTCTTATATTCTACTCATGTTAAGCAATATTCTCATTAATCATTTATTTATTTTAAAATTCGTAACCAAATTCGGGGATCGAAATATCCATTAAGAAGAAAACCTTATTAACCCCCCACACACATAAACAATTAAATAAGTTGTCATTGAACACTTAACCCCTTCATGAACACCCCTTCACCCTCCCTATAAACCCCACCCCCTCCCTATAGACCCCTCACCCTCCCTATAAACCCCTCACCCTCCCTATAAACCCCTCCCCCTCCCTATAAACCCCTCACCCTCCCTATAAACCCCACCCCCTCCCTATAGACCCCCCCTCCCCCCTCTCTTCCCCAGGACAAAATTCCCCCAAAATGGAAATTTTTACCCCAGTTCCGGTCGCCATTTTCGCGCCGATTGCTCATCAGGGGCGCGTGTTTTTACCCCCGTTAATCAGTCATCAATTTCTCGTTAATGTCTAATTAAGGTCTAATTAGGAGCCTATCTTCAGCTCGTTAGCGCCACGTAAAGATGCCGCCGTCGGGTCGACTTTTTTTCGAAATTTCCTGTTGCGATTTTAACTAGAAAAAGAAAAAAACGCAATAGATTTTTTTGAAAAAAATTCGTATTTGCGGCAAAATATTTAAAAAATTTCAGGCTGCGAATTTCGGGACCTTGAACGCA